GCATCACCTGCTGGAAAACGGGTCCAGCGTCCCTTTTACAGAATGTACTCAGACATGTAAAGTTGTATTTGGCTTTACTCTCACAGTGAGTGCAACACGGTCTTGAAAAATTAACAGCACGCAGCTCAATGAATGCCTGTGGCACTCAGACCCCGATAGCATCAGATGAATGATAAAGTAACTCCCAAGAACCCGGGGCCGACAAGCTTTTTTTTTTTTTTTTTTAACTGAAAGCCCTTACGATATCCCTCTATCCTGGCGGTGGTATGAGAACCGTCAGAATTGAGGGCTTACCTGTCGGGCTGCTCCATCTATTGGTGGGGAGTGGCACCTGCTGGAAACCGGGTCCAGCGTCCCATCAGAACATCGTATGGCACCAAGACTGCGGTTCTTTACTGTTTCATCCTGGGGCTCCAGCATCCCTTGGAGCTGCAAGTGTCACCCTTCCCAATTTAAGGAGCTCCCCATTATCTGTCGACCCAGTCCTTATCTCAGCAGCCCCCTATGGGGGGGGGGGGCGACAAGCTTGATGATAACTCATGGTTGTCATCCTTTCAACCACCTCTTGAATGGAACGGAAATAAGAATTTGATGGTCCAAACTAGAATGGAAAGAAGAATTTGATGGAGCCTGCTCCTGGGTATAACTGACCAGAGTGAGGGGAATAGAGGATGGGGAGCTTGGGGCACTTGTGTCTGAACCCAACATCCCAGTGTGTCATCTCCCCTTTGATCCAGCCAAGTGGGAGTAGGAATGGGACAGACAGCAGAGTGGGAAAGGTTACAGATCGTGCCATGCCTCAGCTCCCTCTATGGAGGCAGTCATAAATAGATGGGACAGGGGCTACCTACTGCGGATGCCTGACTTAGAAGACGGTGGAATTTCAGTATGTTAGTGCAGTAGAGGTAGATGATTCATTTGATAGCAGTTGAAGGCCGTTGGCCTTCTTTTTTCTTTTTTCTTTTCAAAAGCCTGATGCCTACCAACATAGATGATCGCCTGTCACAGTCCAATTGAGAGCAGCAAGGATGCCTTCCCTATCTGGTCTTATCGCGGTATCTCATCCCTGCAACGCAGAGCTCCCCTGGCACAGCTGTGACCGAACAGCCTTCTGAATACATCCAAGGTAGGATGAGTATGCTCTCAACTGAGGAGTACGTCAGACTAGTGGGGGCGCAGCGCTACCGAGAGCGCTGCGCCCCCACATTCTCTTCAGGTTCACACTTGCCAAGCGCTTGTGGGGATGCACCAGGGTAGTATGCGCTCTCGCGGTGAAACGCACGTAGTTGACGCTGGGTGCTGCTGGGCAGACTCGCGAGTGGCCTCTGGAGCTTTCTGACGTGGCGAGGAGCAACGTGAGGTAGCCAAGAAATGGGTTTCATCTCCAGGTAGTGTGTACGTCTCCTCAAAGCAGCCATAGCAGGCTTATGGTGCTGAGGGGGATCTCGTGAAAAAAGCGGGAATCAGTGGGCGATGGGAGCTTTGTGCTCCCTCACAGACAGCTGGACGGGCATGCTAGTGGGAGATAGAATGAGGAGGAGGCGAGTGTGTTTTCAAGAGACGACATCATCTTAATCGTGCGCTGTAGTAGGAAGCTAACTTTTGCGTTGACTTTGCTGACAGTGGCATCAGCATCATCATCAACCCTTGGAGTGGAAGTAACGGGTTAATGGCGTTGAAGGGTCGCCTGAGGATTGCGGGAATCAGCGGGTGACGAGTGTTCTACTATCTCGCGGCCAGTTGGAAATCAGAGGGCGCTCGTGGACGGCTGGGAAGACATTTAAGAGGCGAGCGTCTTCGCCATTATCACCGTGGCAGTCTGTATCATCATCATCATCATCATCATCATCATTGCCACTATTGTCAGCGTCATCATCATCATTGGCATTATTGTCATCGTCACCATCATCATCATCATCGGTATAAATTTTATCATCTTCATTAGTATTATCATCATCACCATCGTTATCTTCAACTTTGTTTATCAGCTTCACCTTTTTCCTTTTTTTTTCTTTTTCCCCACGTTATCTTCCCTCCCCTCCACCATTTTCTTTTTCCCCACGCTATCTTCCCTCCCCTCCAACTATCTTTCCTTTTTCCCGTTCCTCTCTTTTTCGTTTTGTCTTTCTTCTCTGATCGTGACCGATTGCTACTTCTATATTGGGTTTCAGCGGGCTGTTTCTGGAGTAAGGAACAGACATCGGGATTTCCAGTGTATGAGGTGG